AATCATTATCGAAATACTGTAGGTCAAAGCCCTTTTTAATTGCTGCGATATGGCTGCAAACTGTCTAATTCGATAACAGTTCACTATCCCCCTGAAAGTGGACGGTTGCTGATAAATCCTTGATTATGAGCAGACTGGAGTATCATAGCTACGCTAACCTGATAGACGTTTAAGGCAAAACAGCAGGAATACTCACCAGCAGAATTACCTGTCTACTTACAAGAGTCATCCTATTTAGACGAACCGGACTCCGGTGGTCGTTGGCTTGTTCGCCCAGCTCAGCGAACAAGCCAACGACCACAATCTACGATACCTGAGCTACCAACATTTTCCTCTATAGAGAACCGGACTCTGCTCCCTAGGATGTGGTCGCTACAGAGTGAGTAATTTACTTGATTCAAAAGAGAACGAGAGTTCCATTTTCATAAAGGAAACCACTCACAAGGTTGCTGAAAACTCTTCAACAGCCCACGACCGGTTTCGCCCTTCTTGGGGCTCATCAGGTAGGCGCAATCCCCGAGTTTCCGTCAACCGGTCGTGGGCTGTCGAAGAGTTTTCAGCAACCTTGTGAGTCGTTTCCTCTATGAAAATATATTGCGATATCTTGAATATCGTGCCAACTGAAACATGACGTGGCCTGTGTATAGCACATTCAGTTGCAGAATATCATGAACGAGGGATTCAGTTGAGTCCCTCATGAAAACCAACTGATTTGCAAATGAATGTATCTCTCGAAGAGAGTTCAATTTTTTTCAATTTTTTCACATGTTCATGTCTCTATTCAGCAAACGCATCCAGAAGGGTAAAAGATATTACCAACGGCTTTCCAGAACAAGCCTCAACGAAAGCACTTTTGTCATCCCTTTTTCAGTCACCACAAACAATTTTCTGAACGAATAACCAAACAAGACATACAATTTTAGGTGCACGTTAACTTGATGAAGCTGAATTTCACCCGTTTTATAGCACTATTATAAAAAATGATAACAGTCTCGCGGTATAATGAATGAATATTCCTCCCTGTGTGCTTTAGTTTCATCAGCTAAACGACTGAATTAGTCTGAACTCTTTGCAAGTATTCATGTACACAACTAACAAATCTAGCCGTACGAAATATCATATTATCTATTCACATTTGTATCGTATTTTCTCCACATCGAACGACCAACTTTTTGAGTGGTGGTTAAATGTATCGAACATCGGTCTCTCAAACTTGAGAGACATTCTGGGGAATGTGGAACCATTCCGCGCGATCTGTTGGTGCTGTGGGTTGCGCGTGCATCTTCCAGAACGGAGTTTTTGAAACCAGTGCCGGGTGTTGGTATCCGTCTGATAATACGTACAGTTGCATGGTTTCATTTCCTATCAAAGATCTTTTATTATGGAGCTCCGTCACATCACCACACTGTGGACCTGCTCTTGACCAACATCGAAACACCATCGATTAGGTTCATCTGTTCATTTAGCTTGATAAATTTCATGTCTACCTCAGAAACCGGATTCTCCTTGGTGTTCACACACTATGTACTGAATGACAGTTCTCAACTTCGGGAACCGAGTCATCGTTACCACAACCACCACGTAACATAAGTGAGCCCATCATTTTAATTCAGGTACACCAATCACATCGCTCAAGTGTGAACACGTTCGCCTGTTCAGACGTGATAATTCAGATGCGTCCAATGTGCGTTGGTGGAGTAGTGGTTACACGCTCGCCTCGCATGTCAGATGTCCGGGGTTCAAATCCCGGCACGGCCATTGGATATGCACCGCTGATGAGCTCTGATAAGAGCGAAACTCGAGTCCAGTGCTCCCTTTGGTGTGGACTCACCGGAGTAATTACGCCAGAACAGGAACACGACCGTTCAAACGAGTGGTGTGGCTATGAACAATTCAATGACCACCTGAAAAAAAACTATCAAATAACAACAAACCGGAGTTGTCTGGAGCGGAAATCCGTGGCGGCATTCGTGTTTGCAAACACAGTCGCATCTGTTTCCTAATTCGGTGTACCCCACTGGTCCTGTGTTCAATGCACACCGCTCAATCTAACGACGAATCTCCCGCAAATAAGACCGTGGTCTGGAGGTAACACACAACTCATATCAATAGTTTATTGCATCTAGAAAAAACGTATTGCGATATCTTGAATATCGCAACAACTGAAAAATGAGGCGGCCTGGTGCATTACATTCAGTTAAAGCGGACCGTCATAGACTCGCGTTTCAGCTGGATTCAACTGACTCTCCTGTCAAAACCAAATTTGTGTGCAAATGAGGGGAATTGTCGAAGACCGTGGTCTGTTCCAGACAATCACAGGTGTCATACAATCCCACCGGTCTTAATATTACCCTCCACCCAACAAGGCGAACTTTGTTTGGATTTCGCGAGATCGCAATAAATAGGGATTAGTGTGTGTCAATGATGATCTTGTGTTCCGGTCATTCAACCGAAATATGGGTGATGGAATTGAGGCTACAGGTTCAAAGCTCTTCAGCTGTATGGAAGATGAACATTTCGTCCAAACGAAAGTCCTAAATTCAGTTAGTAAGACGTCATTCTCTGCAAATTGGTTAAGTTTTAGGAGTATTCCTTACTATCATCATTTTCAAATGAACGCTAAGTGTGCCGGTCAGTAGTGTCTTACCTGAAAGGTACCACTCAATCAGAGGTGCATCGAACAAGAGGACTCAGGCAAGAAAAACTTACGCAAATGGCATTATTGGACCGTACCGTGACATCACATACGGAGTCAAAGTTCTTTTTTTCTCGTCCACTTTGCGACAAACGAGTAAAAACTGCACGAGACTAGTGGTTTTGTCATAGCAGAAAAGGTTCCAGCTTCTTTTTCCTTACTTGAGTGTAAAAAGCTTGTATTCGGAAGACGCCACTTAATTTTTCCCCAAAAATAGTGGCCGTCCATTTTTATCCGAGTGAATTTGGTGTTTTTCTGACTCTTCAAGTGTTGAAGACAATCTATACGGACGTCTAATTATGCAAGCTTACAGTCCTGTCGCCCACTGATGTGAAAAGTTAACCAGACATATCGGTTGCCATCCTGTCTTTTTTTCACGAAAGGCTTAAAAAACTCCAGATTGCGACCAAATCGATAATTGGGCATAAATACGAAAAATCCGCGTGGAATTTTAGCGTGTTTTAATGCGTGTTCAATGAAGGTTTATATTTTTATAAAGGAAGCTACTCACAAGGTTGCTGAAAACTCTTCAACAGCCCACGACCGGTTTTGCACTTCTTGGGGCTCATCAGGTAGGCGCAGTACCCGAGTTTCTATCAACCTTATGTTCTGCTTGAACCCAAATTGGAGTTTTCGAGAAATACACTCATTTGCGATTCAATTTGGTTCTCACGAGAGACTCGACTGACTCTCTCGTTTATGATATTCTACAACTGAATGTGCTGCACACAGGCCGCCTCATGTTTCAGTTGGCACAACATTCGAGATTTTGCAATATATTTTCATAGAGGAAACCACTCACAAGGTTGCTGAAAACTCTTCGACAGCCCACGACCGGTTTATATTTCGAAATGCCCCCGTTAACTCGCTTTCTACACTTTTAGTTAGTTAGCACTGATGGGACGATTGTACACACTTTGATAATCTCACCCCCAGAGTCGTAAGAAACCGGCAAGAAACAGTCAGAACATCCGATCAAAACCCAGTCTGTCTGTCTTCATCATCCAAATATCAACTTCTCTAACTTAGACTGCTGTATCAGTGAAGGCCCCACTGCTCCTTAGCAGGAGCGAAGAGCAATGCAGCACTTCATACCTTATGGTCAGATCAAGCATCACCCTGAAACCGTATAATGTTGTGTTACTACTACTTATATACTCTCAAGTAAAAAAGAGGTCAACCGACGTTAGTCTGGCCACCATAACTAAGTATGAGGCTCATAAAATGCCATCTGTTGCCTCCGGACGCATTGTCCCCCAGCTCCACTGAAAAATTCCTTGCAGGTACACTGTTTTATTAAATTTATTTACGCAAAGGCTTGGCCTGCTAACCTATTAGTCCGGTGGCTCCATACAAAAGGAGCGTTCAGCTTCGTTCGTACATGCCGCGGACCACTATCAAAGCAATTGATTCTTGTCGATTTCGCTTGCGTCCGTTCAACTCAGTACACGCAAATATTGAAAACACATTGAATTCACAGTGGTTTACCTAAATGTGGCGCGGTCTCGATCAAGTCTAAAAACTTCATCATCCACGCAGGAAGGGTGTGAAGTTCTACCGAGACCCGCCCGACTAACTAGCCTTGAAAATACGCGTATTTCGGAGGATGTGATGTCGCCATATATTCATAAACTGCAATCTTAGTATTCAAGATCCTTTATACCCACCAGAAAATCCCGCAGTGTAATGAAGCGGTTCAACCCAGATCGGGCCCGACACATTGTTGGGTTGCAGTGTGACATTCGAATAGCGTGAGACCGGAACAGTAAACACATGACGATATTAACTCTCGCACACGAATTCGGTTTTGATAGCGGACTCAACGGAACCCAGCTGATACAAGTTAAACATGAGCTAGCAGGACCTCGTGAACTGGGCCTACCTGATGAGTCCAAGAAAAGGTGAAACTTGTCCAGGGCTGTTGAAGAGTTTTCATGAGTAGTTTGTTACATCTAGACAACAGATATATTAATTAGACGGTACAGATCAAGAAACAGTTTGCTGAACTTTTATCCACAAGATTCAAGAAACAGGCAGCTGTTAAGTATCTTGATTTGAGGATGGGCCACGATTTCTATTGTCCAGTATAACTTAAGTGGCCTTTCTTTGCTGCAGAGGTTGGTGATTTCTCACCGCTTTCGAAGGTCATGAATATCAGCCTCAACTCTTTTCTTGAGCCATTATTAAGTCCAGCTAGTTTATATCACAGTTTTTGTCATTCTGGATGCAATTTCCTTCCAATCACGATACGGTTAGGAGTGGCTTTCTTCTCCCTTATCCTCCTGACGCGTTTGTTGCCTTCTCTAATGTTTGGGATTCTTGAAGTATACATGTGGTTAATTCTGTTAAATGAGCGCATGTGCATCAAGAGCAGTTGAAGCTTATAGTGAGCAAACACCAAAATTATGGTGATTAGGTTAGGAAAATGGGACACCTCGCACATCTACCGCGGTGTTTACGATAGTTGAGCTATGTCCTTCTGAGGCGATGGCACACAAACAAACGGTCAGACGAGTGAAGAAGCATTGCTAGACAAAAGGGGACGCTCAACTCTTCCTCTTGTTTCTATTCCTTCTGCCTACTAGACTGTTGTGTCAGTTTGGCCCAAGGCGTGCATCTGTAGACAGCTGGTTCGATTGGTTTATTGCCTCCGGCTCCACGACTAGCTGATACACCGATTAGGCAGATTATTGAGCTGTGTTCCATTCTGCGATTAGTTGTCATATTTATTAGATGTCCGAATACGGTTCATGTGGCAGCTCCACTGCGCTTATCTTAACTGTCCGAAGCATCAGCAGTTAAAAACAGAGCTATTCTGACTGAACGGGCTAAAACTTTGGCAAACTGAGGCCCCATCCGTACTACTGGATTTCCCAAGTCTTGGGCTGTTAGACGAAAACAGCCAAACCGGCTGACACTGTTCGTAATCCTTCGCGATAATCAGCAATGTCAGAATGCCAGACAACCTACGGATGGCGAATATGTTGTCCCGTGATCAAAGCTAGCTAATAATGTGACTTGACCATCGGGACTTCAAGGTAGCAACACGAGACCTCTCCAGATGGCAGCCGGATGCGAGCAATGTAGCGGTAACATGCTGTGAGAATGAACAATTTTACCACCAGTTTACCTCATCCTTTTCGTTCTTCGAAGGCGCCATTCGTGAGAGAATACATGGCCGGGAGTGGAAGTGCAGCGGAACATATGCGTAATAGATCTGTGTTGAACAAATGGAATGCAACCTCTACATATTACCGTAATCGTGGTTTTATTTACAATATTTCGATTTCTCTGTCTGGCATTATCACTGGTGTTCATTCCGTGCAGCGCAGGACTGCTGTACGTAACTCCACAGTAAGACCTACAGGCCGGCTACAGAAAAGTGCCCGAGGTAATACACTTAATGTTGCCACCACACTGTGACCACGTGACCGAATTTAATAAAACGGCTGGTTGTATTGTACTAAGACAGTCCATTTTGGTGGTGTAACGGAATGAGATCAGCTGGAAAACAAAATGTGGACGAGAATACAACAAGCTAATTAGACGGAATATTTCAACCAGACTAGTCAAACATGGTGACCGTCCTTGAATTCCCAACAATCATGGTGGACTCTAGTTCAACCGATTCGCACACGCGAGTAGGTCTAGCTTGCTTTCGCTCGTTCTGTTCTACTTCCGTTGCAATCAGACTTCTGGAATCTGCTGATGCACCCAACTGCAACGTTAGACGAAAGATCTGAGACAGCCGAAAGAGTCGAATACCGGTTTTTGTCTAGCAGTTTCCAATACATCAGAGTTCTCTCACCCGTGAAAACGCTCACCCGCACAACCTTCATTTGCATAGCTCGCCCAGCATAAACACCACAGTGGGTTGGTGTAGTAGTGGACAAGCTTAGGTGGAGAGG